GTCTGTCCTGTGGTTCAAGAAGCTTTGGTTTTCCAGGTACCCAAGCCATGCTCGAATGTGGGTCGCACCAATCCGCTCTGGATTAGTGGATCAAAAGAAGATTGATTATGATAGAGCGATGGATGATTGGTCCCATTTTGTCAATGAGACGAAAACGTTTTATGGTGTGGATATGGGCAGTCTGACTAAGCCTTTTACGGATGAGCAGAGAAAATACTATCTACAGGTTTATGTTCTTTCCTTTTCGTTTATGCAAACTGTGTGGTTCATTATCATGATTTCTTAAGTATGGTTTATATTATATTTCTAGTGCACTCTTTTACATCTGCATTAATACTGAGCTTTTAGCAAGTTCTCCTCTTCCATTGAAAAAAAATCAAATTCATCAAAAAACAAACTGCCGTTGAACTGGCCTACTTGTTTATTGTGTTTATCAAATTATTCAAATTACGATTGTAGATAATGCATTTGTTTACTGCGTTCTTGAAGTTTGTACAGTCTTTGTAAGTGAAACTGTGCAGTAATGACTAGAAACTGTAAATAGATTAGATTGATCGATACATTAGCTGTTTGTCTAATATCATTTTCACAGTGAATGTGTCTATATAACCATAGCTTCTTATGGTTGAAAATAAAAAATACACCTTTTGTTACATTGTGTGTGATAGTGTATTTGATGAATATAATCAGACATGAAAATTCAGTTAGGGACCTTGAACAGAATGAGGCGAATGGAGGCAACTTGAGAGTTGAGAGACATTTTCATTTGATGTGAATGCTAAACTAAGTTATTACACTTCCCAGTGTTACTATTTTCATTGATAGATTTCTCATTTTCTTTGCTCCTTGAACATCTCAAAGACCATACTAATGTTTTATGTAGACATCATTGTGGAACAACCTTCATCCAAATCAAGTAATTGGAAAACCTGCTGTCATAAAGGAGATTGATTGTTTAACGTCAAGTGTGAATGATTTACTCAGTCTTCAGGCAAATATCTCATCAATCATTACTGCTGAAAATACACGATTCTGTGGGTTTGGTGGATGGTTTGATGTCCACTTTCGAGTAAGTTGTCCTTACTGCGTCTTTTCTGCATTGTAGTGAGTGCAAATTAATATTATTTTGAACTCACTTTGATTTTGTCAGGGACGCAAGGAGAATCCAGCTAAAAATGAGATTGAGTTGACAACAGCTCCAAGTGAAAACCTTGGAACACACTGGGGGCAGCAGGTTAGTTTACTAAGCCTGTCCAAGTGAAGACTTTTCAACTGTCAGAGACAAACTTAAAACTAACAGAAATTTGCTAGAAAGTTTGCGTTTTCAAAGTCATAGTTGATTTTGTTGGCTAATCTCTTCAAGGTTTCCATCATCCATCAATCTGATGAACTAAAATTTCAAGTATTTTATTTATTTTTTCCCCGACAGTGAAAAGGGGGCAAAGCTGAAGATATATCCAATACCTAGAAAAATTCCACAGTACTAGAGTTAATAAGAGATCCACAAAAGTAGGAGCAAATCAGAAAATGCCCTGAAAACATGGAAATGACAATCTTTTGTTAAAGTGGAAACTCTTCATATGGAGGAAGGATCATATGAAGATCTCCTGTAATCATCAGCTGATTGGCGCCTTCTTCCACGAAACTTCTTCTTTGTCTCTGATTCATCCCAAGCTCATACCTGATGAATGCCTTGCGCTTAACTAAATCCCAGCAATACCATGTGACTTTTTTGCATCTGATACTGAATTACATGAAGGCGTGAAGCCTCATCATCCATTTCAAGATACCCATGAGGACAATTCTCCTTTTCACCAATTAATCTCCAATTCAAATCACAATTCTGATCTTTTCCATTCAAAGGGAAGGTTCCTTTCATAGAGAGTTCTCAGGTGGGAAATCAATCAAGAGCCTATGAGAACATAAATTCCCATTTGTAACAGTGCCAAAAAGTCCATCACGAGGACTTGGCAACCTCAAACCAAAAAATTTACGGAACTTTGATGCTAAAAAGCTACAGTAGCTGCACAAAGGAAGAAATATGCTATAGCAAGATGAACAAAAGCTGTTACAATACCTCTCAAACTCCACATATATCTACCGGCACTGGTTATTTTTATCCCCAAAAGTATTAGTAAAAATTCCAACTTAACTAGTGAACAAAGTAAAGGGTCCAACCTTTTTCTTGATAAACTTACATAAAATTCAACTTTCTCCACTTAGAGATCACCAATTGACTCCTTCAAGAAAACCCAAGTGCAAACGAACTAAAAAAAAGTATCCATCAAATTATAAGCTTTGTATCAATGGAAACAATTATTTCTTGATTTGGGTACCCTAATAATGAATGTTTTGAAGTGGGGTTGAGATGAAACTTTCAGTTGGATTGATCCCCACCTCAATTAATTTGGTTTCTATATCTCTGTATCCACTCCGTTCTGTAAGTTATTCTATATCTAAATGTTTGTGTTAGCTATGGCCAAGTTCTCGGAGATTGTCTAAAGCTATAATTAGCTTTATTGCTTCCAAAATACTCTCTAATTGTTTTCAAGGTTTTACATTGCCTGTTCTTGTATTTGTAGGTGTTCTTGTTTTATCCATCCACACGTGTTAGCCAAGGAGATAATATGACAATGAATTTCTCAATGAATCGCTCTAAAGAAAACCATCGGTTGTTGGAAGTTGAGTTTGATTGTGAGCTTAGACAATCTTCTGGAAATTCACTTCCATCATTCAATAAAAAGTTTTATATAGAATGAGGAGCACGGCCTGATTTTTCGAAGGTACAGTATATATCTTGCACTTTTGAACATTCATGTTAAACCTCCTATGGTGATAAAATTTAAAGATATGATTGAACTGGTTCCATTTATCTGATTTGGTAATTGCGCTCTCTTTACTGTAGTTTTGGGCCAACTTATCTAAGCTTGACAATTCCTCCTTTTGTGCTTATACGTCACATGTCTTTTATTTGCTGTTTTTGTTGGAGCAACTGTTACAGCTTTGCGTTGCCCTTCTGCGTTTATATTTCATGTTTTCCTGTTTCATGAAATTTTCACCATTTTGATTAAACTAGAATAAAATTTTCAATGTGCAGTGTCATGTCTAAAGGCCAATGGGAGGATCGCTATGCCCCCCTCAGAATGAAATTCAGCCATTTCTGCCAGCTGACTTGTGCTGTTGTGTCTTGCCCCCTCGACTCTTATGCCCCCTTCTCAACAAATTTGCCTCTTAAATCATTTTGCATTTCTCTTTCTTTTTTTTTTTTTTTGGTTTGGGCCTGGAAACGAGGGGGCGCGCTAGAAGCTTTGGAATGTTTTGTAAGCATGCAGGATCACCCACCTACAATTTGTGCGGGAAATGAAGGGTTGGTAGTGTCCGCCTTAAACGCAAGTTTGTATCTTAAGACGAAACTAGTGCTACTTTCTCTTGTCAGTGTACAAGTATTCTGTAGTCTCGTCACTTTTTTGTTAGTGCCTAGTAACTTCCATTTGGAATGGAATATCGATCCATCTTATGAAGCCGAGAGACCAAAGATGAGATAAAAATTCATTCAATTATTGGCTTAGTTTATTCTTCTATCGTCCATTTCTACTCCTAGTAAAGTTAATTAAAACATCAAAAATAAGTATTTTTTTTAGAATATAAAAGGTGCAAAAGCAAGTATGAGTTGTACACATTTAACGACACAATGCTAATTAAATATACTATTATTAATTAGAAAAGTGTATTCTATTAGTTTCAACTTTAGTCTGTTTAAAACAAAGTTTTTCTTATTCTTTTTACTATTTTAGCAATTATTTATAATTTCAACTTTTCACATGACATGTTTAAATTCATGAGATTAAAGAGCATTTTGGTACATTTGACATATCTTTAGTTCAAGACTACAAGGTTTGAAAGTTTTTTGCTTTCTTATATCCCGTGTTAAGTCAAAATAAGACAAATAAATTGAAAAGAAAGAAATATATATTTCATTAAATTTGAACAAACAAATAAAATATTAATTTGTGTATTAACTTTCTAATTTTTTTCATGCGAAAGCACTAAAAAAATAATTCTCTTATCACTGATTCAATCAAAACATATACGGAAATAGTCTGTTAAACATTTTAATAGTGATTTTTAAGTAGTGAAATTTGTTGAAAAAGGAAAAAGGGTGCATTAAAAACGAATAAGATATACTTATAGTATTGGTGAAGGAGTAGCTCGTCTAAATGACATACTTCCATAAACTCTTGAACGAAAAAAAAGGAACCGAGACAGGGACATTGTGTCGGGGGAGTTGGAGCACTCCGAGCTGACTCTACATACTGGAAGTACCTTCTAATGGAATAACTGGACCAAGCAAGAAGATCTTATACTCTAAAATATGAACAGATTTATTCAAGGTTTCAATTGGAACTTGAATAGTCTCCTCTGCTGGATTACTAAAATTACAAGCCAAAAATAAGTGAATCCAACTAAAAATTCAATAATGAATATATCACTTTAAAACAGAGTTGGAGCAGGACTTCTATAATTAATTAATGCTATAGAGAGGGTAATGATATTGCATATACTCTTGCAAGTCATAAGCCCCTTCCTCTTTATTCGATTCGACAGTGGCACACTAGTAGAAAGAGTGTCGCCACTAAGCTACGCTGCTATTGGAGAACACTTCCCAAGAATGAATAAATTACAGTTCCCCAAATTCCACTTCAGTTGGAAATGAAAGATAAAAAGAGCCTGAATTAATAGGGGTGGATTTTCCATATACCCAGGTGCAACTGAATACTTGGGCCTAGGCCAACAACTGTATTTGGTGGTTTCTACTAACTAATGTCAAGAGGAACATTATGATCTTCTTCCTTCCCCTCTATATTCCCTTGTATTTTGGAGGTAAGTTTTACGTCTCCTCATTGGGCGGATGAATTAACTATGAATATATTTTCAGAGTAAGAAATTTACTCCGTTTGTACCTAACCGAGGGATTCCCGTTGCTAAAATAAGTGTGAAAATGACAAACCAAGAATCATTATGAATTCTTTAAAAATAGAAGTGCTGTCGAAATATTAATTCCGAATGCCTAGATGTGCAATAACTTTTCTCTAAACATACATTGAAGAAAATACAGATATGGTATCCGACTGTCTGTCAAAAGAAATCAATTAGCCAATTAAACTGGTGCAGAGAATAGAATTTGAACAAAGCTTGAAACTATAAACAATGGCCTATTGATGTCCTTGATTATGTGGTGGAGGCCCTGGCGGCAGTGGCGGAGGCATTCCAGATTGATGACCAAAGTTTGACTGCATGTGCATTCCAGGTGGTGTGTTTGGATTTCCAGATTGCTGTTAAGGCAAAAACAAAAAGAAAAACAAGGGTCATTGAACTGAAGAAATTAACTCAACAGCCCAAAACAGCAAATTTTTCAAGTTAAAGAAATCAGAACAAAGGTATTTCATATTCATTAGTCAGTTAAACATACGAGGACGAGAAAGTAAATTACCTCACTGATCTATTACTAAGAAGATCTAAAAACATTTTTAAAAAAAGAAAAAAAGAAGAGATAATTTATCCAGGCTGGGAACTTGTAAAGGTACACTTCCATTGGGTCCAATATTTCACATGCACAGTAGGTAAAATTCCTTCACAAAAATATCTCTTAACAAAATCAGAGAACAGGAAAGACACAAACTAATAAAAAAAACAGCTGGTTTGAAGAACAATATGGGCAGATCAGGTTCAGTATGGGCAATCTCATGAATTGAGTTTTGGCAGGAAGAGAAAAAGCTTGTAGAGAAGTGCTCATTAACTGCCTGTCTCCCATGTAAATACAATCTATGGGTTAGAAGCCTTTCCACTTTACAGGGTAATTTGAGAAGGCAAATTATTTTTATTCTAATAATTGAAAAATCTCCGACGGCCAGTAGGCACACGATTTGTAAATAGAAGGATAATGGACCTCCTTCTACCCTTCTCCACTTAAATATCAGGGTTCTGCGGGAAGGTTTCAACGCATACATCCAACCCCCTACCTGTCACATATTTCACTCTTACCACTAGACCAAAGCACTGCACAGAATTCGAAGACATTTTACTCACTAAAATAACCTCTCCCCCTCCACCTAAGAAAATAACACACTGCCTACCCCCAATACCTCCCAACAGCCAAGGCCACCCCCTTGAGAAAGAAGAAACAAATCAAAACTACATCTACCATATAAATTTAATTGAGAAAATGTCGCAGAAAAGTAGGGACATTCGGCATTCATGCACACAAAATGACCTCAAAAAGAACTTCTTTTGATAAGGTAATATTATGAATAGTACCAAGGAGGTACTGAAAATATACAAAAATGCTGGAAGAAGCACAATTAAATCAGTAGTTCATAGCCTCATACTATCCAAAAAGTCGAAAAGATAGAGCTAATTCATCTATCCAACTATTCTCACACAAGTATACAAATGACCTTGAAAAGAATATTCAGTTAATCACTTAAATATGTGCATATAAACTCCCAAGCTTTACCCTCATGCATAACTAGCCCAGTGATGGCCAAGATTTGATAACTCCTAGCACCTTCTAAAGAAAATACATTTAACTTTTCCAGCAATCAGTAAAAACTACTAGAAGAGCAAAATAATTATGAAGACAATGTCATCTTCCCCAAATTCAATCAGACCCCATTCTTATTTTGCCCCTAACATAAGCTCACATGTATAGATACCAAACTTCTCCTTTCGGTAAAGAACATTTAGTATCACCCATGCAGATCCTACCACTTTTGATATACTGGACCGAAAATTGTTGACTTACTCTCACTAGAGTTCCCTGTCTTCACACTCCTTGACCACATTTAATCCTTTTGTAGAACTGGATTCAACACATTTTCACACATTCTGCAGTTCTCTGGCATAAGTTGAAGTTGCAGTGTAGAATTCTTGTTCCAAGAATAGCTTAAGAAAATACTGACAACAATTGGACCGTAATTTATTTTTGGATAAGTTGCTCAGAATAATAAGTTTTAGACTGTAACTTTCTCTTTTCAATCCAGCTAAAACTACCCCAACTTAACGCAACAATAAATAGGAAACCTATGTAACAAATAATAGCTAATTAGTAACTGACAGGTTAGATACATGTAACTGAAAATAAGAATCCAAACAAAAAGGGGATCCCTAACAGAATGAATAAGCTGCCAAAAGATTATCACCCATGCACTCTCAGGTCTCTTAAAGTATTTACATGCCATTCACCTGATAAGGATTAAGTCCAGGCATGAGCGGCATCTGTCCAGCTTGTGGCCTGTTGAAGCCTCGTACTGGTGGAAACATCTGATTGCCTCCTGAATTTTGAGGGCCTTGCATGTTTGGCAATCCATTTGGCATTCCACCAGGGGGAACATTGCCCTGCGGTCCAGATCCAGGAGGCATGCCAACAAAATGACCTTGAGGCATTGGAGGGCCCATCTGATTCATGTTACCTTGTATCCCCTGAAAAGAAGAAGACAGTCAATCGGTGATGCTGAAATAACCTCTTGATCCTCTCAATATATTTCCTTCAAAGCAAATGCACTTTGTATCAATCAACCAACTATGACACAATGCAAAAGTAGTTGTCGCTGCTACCAACTCCGCTCTATTCAAGAAGAGGCGAAGACCCTAGTGAAATTAGATCCATGCATGCTGCATCACTTGCATACTGTTGAACAATGTGAGCCGTCTCGTATAAAATCTTAAGTTGTTAGAGACATGACACATCCTAAATGTGTTTTATGCCAGACATTGCCCTCTCGCATGCAAACCTGCTTTTTCCCCTTGAGCCAAGCACATGAACATATTTTGTTGGTAGACGGCAACGACTTGAACTGAGGATCCTCTGCCTTCTCGAATACCATTTGGCTACAAATCTCATCTTGATTCAAATGCGTGACTAACTCAAATTATTTTATGGCCTTAACCTAGAATATCAGTTACTTAAGCAGGAATCTTTCAAAAAGGTCATCTCTGTTTTATAACAGTAAAAATTTCATAGAATCAAAGTTTTATAAACACTGCACAAATTGAATCTGGAACAACTACAGAAAAGATGAAGTTCTTTCACTCAAGGGGGGAGTTCAAATGAAGAATCAGAATTCAGCATAAGCAAGCATAAACGCAGAGATACACATCAGTATGAATACGTTTAACAAAAAATGAATTTACACCACTAATTTATTTCCATTTGTTTAGCAAGAGAATTATACTTAGAGATGCACCAAGAAGGTGACAATCAAGATAAGTCACGACACATCTAGAGGAAGAAAAGAAAGATACGCGCAATAGACGGAGACAGCTGCAGAAATATGATACTTACCATCGGAGGCATTCCTTGGATGGGTCCAGATCCTGGCATTGAAGATTGAAGGCCAGGCATGTTTACTGGTTGTAGTTGATGTGGTGGCCGAGGTAGATGAGGATGTGGCATTAGAGGCATATGTGGAGGCTGTAGCTGTGGCAAATTCGGTGGTTGCAAAGGAAGAGAAGTCATTTGTTGAGGTAGTGACTGCTGCTGCTGAGCTTGCTGCATGTTTTGTTGATATGCTTGCTGCTGATTACTTCCAAGAAGCGATGGATGTGGACCAGGAGGAAGAGGAGGAGCTCCTAAAGGCATTGAAGTCTTCTGTTCTCCTTGAGAAGATGAATCAAGTGATGGAATAGACAGTGGCATTGCAGCTCCAACTCCAGGTATTGTACCGTCAGTTCGTAACATACCAGAGGCAAATGCTCCAGGAGTTGATGGGGGCTCAGGACCTGGAAAATTACCAGGCATGCGACCAAGAACATTGTGTTGATCACCCAAACCTGAAATCAACCAAAATACCTGTGCTGAGGCTATTTAAGCACTATAGTTTGGTAGTTCAATGTGATAGTCTAACTAAGACTATTAGGTGCCAATGGAAAAGAAAAACGATAATCTTTCAAGAAATTTCTTTAAAACCAAGCTGATTTTTGCCCTGGTCTACAAAGCCCACGGCCCCCTTATCTAAATATATGTACAATAAACTTGTATACAATCTGAAGTACAATAAAACAATAGCAAAAAAAATATAAAAATAACAACTGCATGGACAGGAATTAGTAAGCACCTTGCTGTCCTAAATTGAATTTATCACGAGCGGAGTCCCCAGGCCTATTTCTGCACCAGAACTTTGTTGTCTGATCATTGCTGCCACTGCACCAGCAAAAAGACTGATTAGTTATACCTGCTTAGGTTACTCCAGTTATACGCTTTATGTTGATGGAAATTTTATTCCTGTTGGCAGAATAGTACCTAGTGGAGAAGGTTTAAGGATATCCACAGTACTAGAGAGGATAAGAAACGAAATAACAAGCAAGAAAAGCTAGAACCAGCCACTGGAAGGCAATGACATACAATTTACAGTACAAAACACACAATTCCTCGCACACACACACACGAAGATAGAGAGGGAGGGAAAATTTTTTAATCCAGCCTGTGGAGGCTGTGCAGGATTTGAATCAACATAAACACAACAAGGCCTAAAATGCAAGTAAGCACCCATAAAGTCACCTGCCCAAGAAAAGTTCAAATGAAATGACGAAATCTATACATAGATAGATGGAGGATTGTCCCAGCTCACAAGTTGCATCTGGTGGACAATCTGAAAAGAGAGGAACTCAAAATGTTTTGAGGACAGTAGCCATTCAATACAGAAGATCAAAAGTAATTGCATTAGACTTTTTTTGTTTTTGGTGTAAACAGATTTACATAGAAGATATTGTTTCAATCATGGAAATCCTTGAATTTTGCAAGGACAGCTGACAGTATTCTTCCTTTGTAAATATGGTTTCAGTACAACCAATGTAAAATAAAATGGAGGAACTCATGTAGGAGAATTCCTTTAATAATGAACTATATCAGCAACAGATGCTATATGAATAGTTCGTGATGCACTTTCATATCGGAGTTCAACATCAATTCCATACTAGAAAAATGGTGTCCAACATAAACCATAATTTCACCTTTTACAAGGAAATGGATAATGTTCATTTATTCATAATTCGTGATGCACAAGACAATAATTCCATTCTCTAATGACAAATGGCCTCGCCCATTTCATTACGGCATTATCTTCTTGATCACTGGCTATTGATAGAAAAACTGTAGGTGACAATATCAAGGGAATTGATAGAAAACAGTCGCACAAAAAAAAAAGAGGTAAATTTTTATTGTTCTCTGGGACCAGGGCAGAGGCAGGGTCACGTGGAGGGGGGTGGCAGCGCAATGATTCCTTTGGGATGAATGACCCTTAATCATATGAAATACTTTATCCAAAAAAGTTGACTACTTTTGATGAGCCACTATACATATCTTACTACCTTTTTTAACATCTACCGACAACTACTTTCAGCATAAGTATTAAGTACCTCAAATGTTTCACAACATAATAAAGCTATCGCTAATTGTATTTGTATATATGCTTGATAAGTTCTGTACAAGGGAGTTAGAGCCAACATACATGAAAAAAGAAGCTACTAAGTGAGGGCCATAGTTGAGCACACAACAAAGCTATAGATACAACCATCTACCCTAAGATTTAAATCTGCAACGGACTTCTTTTTTTTTTTTTTTGATAACCGAGAAATCCGTCTGTGACCCGCCCTTTGGACCAATCACAGCCTTCTAAACTCGGTGGATAATGGGCCCGCCCCTCTACCCTTCTCCACTTAAATACCGGGCTTTGCTTTGCATGGTGTGGGGCTTGAACCTGCGACCTAAGCCACAAATCCTCCACCTTTTGCCACTTGAGCTAGGAAACATGTTGCCACTTAATCTGCAACGGACTTCTTATGGAAACATGAATTTACTGGATAAAGAAAAGTTGAGAGCCCACACAAAAGAAACCTTCACATTCAAGAAAGAATTAGTACAGCAGAAGCTGTAATCCCCACGACCATCGACTGATAGACTTCTTAGAGTGGATAAAAGGCAAACTGAGAAGGACAATCTAAATCCATAGCCATCGTGTGGAAAGAATAAACTTATAAGATTACAATTAACTTTTGGAAGGACAATTGACATGTGGTAAGCAATCTGGAAATGGCCTTTCCAGATATCTTCAACTAGTTCTTCATCAGCAAAGGTCTATAGCAGAAATGAGGACACTTCAAGGATGGAGCATCATTTTCAGGAGACAAATCAATGATTGGGAATTGCAAAGAGTGGCTGATTTCTTTAGTACAATTGAGCAGTTTGGGCTACAGACAGGTGGAGATGTATTATGGTAGAAAGGAAACTATTCTAGGCAAATGCAGCTTACAAAATGATGAATCACTCCATCCAACAGATAACCAATTGGGCATGGAAACACATCCTGGAAGACTAAAGTCCATCACAAAGTAGTCTGTTTTGTGTGGCTACTAGTTAAAGAAGCAGCCCTTACACTGGATAATCTGTTGAGAAGAGGGATTCCATTGTGTTCAAGATGTTTTTTGCGTAAAGAAACAGCAGACAGTTAACCATTTCTTCCTACATTGTAAGTTCACAGCACAATAATGGAGAATTATCTTAAATTTCAAAGGCATATCCTGAATTATTCCTGAAAAGGTTACAGAAGTTCTAAAAAGTTGGGAGGAAACAGGCTTACAGGCAAAGGATGCAAGTAGATGGAGAATTGTCCGTACCTGCATTTGGTGGACTATTTGGAAGGAGAGAAATTCCAGATGCTTAGAGAATATATAGAATGGTGTGCAAAAGATCAAGTTGAAACCCATCTTACTTTTGTGTTTTTGGTTTAATCAGATTTACTAAAATAATAATGTTTCTATCATTGATGTTTTAGATTCATTATAGATAGAGGACAGAAAAATTTGAGAGCTCTAATGTAAATATGGTTTCAGTACTACCTAAATACTGTTTTGATTCTTTTGATATATAATATACACACACACAGAGTTACCAGTTTCAAAAAAAATAAAATGAAGAGAGCAAAATCAAACAGAATTTGAAGAACTTATTCTATAAGAAAATTGGAAAAGGAGTACTTCGGGAATGCTTTGTGTTCTTACTGGGGCATAGAATTGCAGGATGAATACTAAACATGCTTTTGAAATCAGCTTCAGCTTATATTGTCATGGTAAAGCAGCAAATTCAGCACCATATAGATCCAAGCAACAAAAAAATGAACAACCTCAAAAGAATATCCAGCAACAACCAAGATGAATCGACCAGATTATTCAAATACGGGACAAGGCACAGAAGAAAAGCACACCAGTTATGAGAAAAATTCTAACAATTGCAACTTTAGAAAATTGTTTTCTGCAACTGGAAACCAGTACTAGTGTAATAAATGGCACATAACTACAGAGCTGCAGTTCAAGAAAATGCAGTATAACCTGCAAAGGAGATAGCCAATGGGGTGCCACGCAAGATCCCAAACACCAGTTTCATGTGCATTTGTAATTTCTACTTGAGGTGCTTCATGCCTGTGGGTAGAGCATCAAAAAGACGAGAGAAAAAAATATTAGAACTTACCCAATTCACTGATGATAGGGGGATTTGATTTGATTAAAAGTTTCAATTTTGGGTTCATTTTGTAAGTGAAATCATATTCTGGACTATCTCATCACATGTTTGGATGACAGACTAAGTAGTCCAGAGGGCTCTTTTACTCCCCACAATCACAGAAACTGTAGGATGCTACTGCACTAGTCAATACTGGGTAGAAAGAAATTTTTTATTTGAAGCGAAAGGAAAAAAAATGTTTTTATTCGAAACAATTACCATTTTCAAAAAAAATAAAACTAAGGCAAATAATGCATATGACAAAAAAAAATCAAGTCTCCCTCTTACAGGAAAAGCAAATAAAAAAGGAATTTGAGTGGAAGGAGATAATTTTTCCCAGAACTATCCTGAACTCATCGCATTGAACTGACACCTTCCTAGGAGAAAAGGATAATTGCTCAATAACCATAGTACCAGATTCACATACAACAACCATGTATCCCCACTGTTTTGGTTTTATTAAGTTGAGAATGCTTGATGAAGTAAAGATACATGCTAAGAGGAGCATTAGAAGTGGAAACAAAGTTCCCTCTCTTATCTCCAACTTCTGGTTGCCAAGAACAGTTGAAATATTTCACAAAGATTCGAAATAAGTAAGATCATAAAATTGATTCAAGTTAGTTTAAGTACATTTTTCTCTTTTTTAGAAAAGGGCAAGTACATATTTTCAACTTTTACTCACTCTTAACCTAGACTTTTTATCCCATAAGTTTCTTGATAAGTCTAAGCTACTAGCTATGGCATTCATCCTGAATTGTCCTTTGTCAATCATCCCAACTTGAATCCAGCCAAAGAAGTGGCAGGAGTACCACACTTCAATTTTATTAAATGGTGGCAAAAGAATATAAATAAAAGGGTAATGTTATGACAGAACAATTAGCAACACTTCCTCAATCGATAGCTAGGTATCCTGTCTATTTCATCAGATAAGACTTGTTATTCCTATGGCTAACAGTTGAAAAAAATAAGAAACATCAAGATTAATGTCCTAAACAAGGTCATATAATGGTATTTTGAAAGAGCAGGAGATGAAAGTAGCACCAATGATTTATAGTTGATAGTGAAAGAAGTTTCAAGGAACTTACCCCACAAGCCAATGAAATATTGAACCATCAAAGCTTCCACTGACGAAATATTCTTCATGAAATGGATGCCAGGCCAGTGCTGTCACGGTTACATGAATATAAACAGTTAATTAGCCAGTATCACAGACAAATGAAAGTTAACCATGGAAGCATGGTGGAGGAACAAGACAATAAGTGGAAAAAAAGGGTGTTTATTATCTGAATAAACAAAATAAAGAAGCATTAAAATTATTGTTGCAACACAAATAGTAGAAAAGGCTAAAAGTGATTAACTTTGAATTTCATTATAATTAACAATTCAGCCACTACCTCCATTTGTATTATCCACTTTTTCATCAACATGTCTGAAATTTCTTTTTCTTATAGTACCTTGGAGAAATTTGCTGAATAATACTAGCATACGAAATGCAAATTTTCATCCAAGCTCATTTTTCTTTATCAAGTCATCCAAACCCATTACCTGGCTATTACACAACATGCTAGTGTTGTGTGCATTGCATAAGATATATATACACACACATACAGAAGAAGGTAATTATTACATGTCACATCCTTCTGATGCCCTCGGAATGACTCAACCTCCTTCATAGCACGTATGTCATAAAGCTGAAATGAAACAGCACGTTAAGAGGACAGAAGACAAGCAATTGAACACAAATGTTTTACTTGACACAATAATCATCAAAACTATTTGCAGGCATTCCTTCATTAGTATTTTGATTAAAATTCATATGTATATAGGCTTTGTTCTTCATTTCTAACTAAATAAAAAAATGAATACTGCAACCAGAAACAGAGAAGTGGTAAGAAGAAATGCACTTGCAGTAAAGAAGCAGTTGCAACTTAAAACCGAGCTAAAATTGCAATCTTGTTGCTACCAACCCCCTAATAAGAAATTTAGCGAGGCATCTCAAACCCCACAGCTACAAGTTTAACGAACCTGACTGAACCCCTAACAAAACTAGAACACAAAACTAGAACATGTTCCCCTAAAGCTTCATAAAGCTCAAAAGTACAACTCAACAGAAACGAAAACACACATTTCAACTGAACTAAGCAACTTCAAGTTTATCCTTCTCTGTTTTTCTATTCACCCATATTCTAAATCTTATTGACATCATCTTTGTGCATCATTAATGAAAGCTTTTCATTTGTCAAGGGTAAAAAAAGATAGCATAAATCTAGTTTTTGTCAATTCTATTAAAAAATGACATCTTTCCTCAGATAACAACAATCACATATCATATAGTCAAATTAACAAATAGTTAAAATATTACTATCATTATTATTTTATTGTATTTCAAACTTGATGGACATATTCCACCTCCAACCATGTCATACAAACAGCAACAGGACAGAACAAGTAGTTGTACACTTTTGTCAATTGCCATGCAATTTCAATTAATGAATTTGTGAAACAAACATCAGATCATTTGGTCATTAACAACAAATTTACACCACACAACAAGTAGTTGTACACTTTTGTCAATTGCCATGCAATTTCAAATTAATGAATTTGTGAAACAAACATCAGATCATTTGGTCATTAACAACAATTTACACCACACAACAAGTAGTTGTACACTTTTGTCAATTGCCATGCAATTTCAATTAATGAATTTGTGAAACAAACATCAGATCATTTGGTCATTAACAACAAATTTACACCACACAACAAGTAGTTGTACACTTTTGTCAATTGCCATGCAATTTCAATTAATGAATTTGTGAAACAAACATCAGATCATTTGGTCATTAACAACAATTTACACCACACAACAAGTAGTTGTACACTTTTGTCAATTGCCATGCAATTTCAAATTAATGAATTTGTGAAACAAACATCAGATCATTTGGTCATTAACAACAATTTACACCACACAACAAGTAGTTGTACACTTTTGTCAATTGCCATGCAATTTCAATTAATGAATTTGTGAAACAAACATCAGATCATTTGGTCATTAACAACAATTTACACCACACAACAAGTAGTTGTACACTTTTGTCAATTGCCATGCAATTTCAAATTAATGAATTTGTGAAACAAACATCAGATCATTTGGTCATTAACAACAAATTTACACCACACGATCATTACAAGCAAAATCGGAAAAAGGATTTGTGGGTTTTAGGAGAAGTATGACATGGAACAGCCTACCTTTATAATTTGATCCTTGGAAGCAGTAAGGACCCAGTTACCGTTTTGATTCCACTTTACACAGAGAACGGTATTCTTATGTCCGTGACTGCAAACCGCAAACAGCATCCATGTTATTGCTAAAAAAATTGTAACTTAAGTGGTAAAATCCTAAGTTTATAGAAGTAATAACATTGCAGATTTAGAGAGCAGTTTTTGACTGACAATGACGAAAGCTCCTTTCCTGACTTGGCATCCCAAAGTTTAACAAGATTATCTTTTCCACCTGCGGGCGGGACAAAAGCAAGGTGTCAAAGAGTGAATCTAAAAACCCGGAACATTTCCACCATAAAACAAAACTAAGCGAAACATTTCTAAGAAAAGAAGAGAAGAAAAAAGCATATACCTGAGACTAATAGAGACTTTGTAGGGTGCCAATCAACACTCTTCACATCCCAACCATGGCCTGCCTGAGTTCAAGTGACATAAGAAACTATTCTAAGGTCACCTCATGCTCAAGTTAACTAGTACATTAATAAGTGTTGATAGCAAATTGAAGAGCTATTGCCAGTGAAATTTTTTAACCAATTCTCCATTTCATAGTAAACCGCTGCTGGAAACATGCCTAAACATGTCATAACAACTATCATAGCAGCAAGAAGTAATGGAAGGCAGGGTGTCAACTGACACATAGGAGCCTGCATATTATTTAGAAAAAACAACAAAATAGCCCTAACATAGATCACAGATATGCAGCCAAACCATCACTAATTTCACTTGAATCAACAAGCTTCTTATAGTAAACAGCTTGAGGAACATTACCAGATAATGAGCGCTCTTCTTGGCACCTTGCGAAGTCCCATATTTTAACGGTAGTGTCGTCAGAGCAGGAGCAGAATTTTAAATCTGTACTACAGAAGCTGTTCAAATTCAAGCATAAGACTCAGTAACCAACTAACATTTTTTTTCGTGAGAACGGGAACCAACTGACATTTAGATCGTGCATACCCTAAAAATATATTTAATGATGCAAATGTGCTGATAGCAAAAACCAAACAGATAAAAAAATCCAAGAAATACATAATAATTCCCAAAACCAAGTCACATCATTTAGAATAATTACCTCAATTCTCGTATTGATTCTTTATGTGCATTCTTATGGGCTTTGACATTATTCATATTGTTTTGCCAATACCTGTTACATGATATAGATGCAAATTCACAAAAGAGAAAGAAAAACACAATATAGAGAATGAGAGTGTGAACTGCAGATTTTATTTACTTTAGTGTCCCCCCATCATCACCAGTGACCATCCAGTTATCATTGTGGCTCCATACCATTGACCTGACTGCTTGATCATGAGCCTGCACATGAAATACATTACATTGTCCATCTAATTTGCTTGTCACATACTAAGATCTGAAATTACAACCCCAGTTTCATACCTGAAGTATCATTTCAAAGTTAAATGATTGTCCATTCCATAGTGTGAATTCACCACTTTGAGATCCAGTAACAAGGCGCCGCCCACTAGGAGTCCACTTCACGTAATCCAAGAGAGCAGGTTTGAATAAGAGAACAGAAATATAAAGATATGATACACAAAGGATGTGACACAACCAAAAGAGAGACCCAGAAAATTTTTAGCTCTACGTCTTGTGGCATAACACAAGCTGGATCCCCTTTACTTCTTTCATCAGTAATTAGAATGACAATGACATAAAAGAGACCCAAGAGGGTATAAGATTTTAAACTACAATATCTGACAGGATGACTCCTTCCATGTCACCTTTTATTATTTTATTTCCAAAGAATTGCTAGTAAGAAAAAACTGAATACAAAGAGCTCTACCAGGAAAAACTAGTACTATCAGAGAAAAACAAAAACGTCCGAAGAGAGTTTGATAGCAAATAAAATCATGTTTCAAGGTTCCAGATTCATACATTCATTCAAGGCCTTGCAACTGTGTGAATATTTTAGACACTCAGATGTGTTGCATTTAAATGCTCCGAAGAACATACTATAATTGACGATTGTACTACTAAATATTACTTCCCCCATTCCATTTTTTTCAGAACTGCTAAGGTTGTATTCTTCAGCATTAAGGTTGTATCCTCCATTCCATTTTATTTTTGTGATTAGTGGAAAGAACTAATCCCTCCATTTCCTTTTTATGTGATGATGTTTGATGGAACACTTAGTTTAATAAGTTAATTTGACTTATAAATTATATTAGCTATGGAGGAACAGCATATTACAGTAGTCTGGAAAAGCTAGTTTGGCAGAGATATTTACCTCGAAATTTGAACTTAAAATTTTAACAACCTTGAACTCTTCACAGTAGTGACAGTTGCATAGAAATTGAATAGTCTCAACCATTTTGGGAAATCGTGAAAAGGAGAAAGTGCCACATAAACAGGGACGGGGGAGTATTAAATAGATGCAAACTCAAGGGCACATGTACAAAGATGCATGTGTGCTTCTGGACACAGTAATTCAATTGAGTATGAACACAAAACCAAAGATATACACAACTAAAGCACAAACGTAAAGATAGAAACCAAGAAGAATTCTTCAACTCACCGCAAGACAATTGATTGAACAACGGTTTTTATTTAGAGATGTATGAACAAATTTAGCAGCAAAACTTGTGGATGGATTATCCAAATAGGCAACTGCTGGCAATATCTGCACCCATGAACAATCAAAAAAATCCTGATCACATGTTGACTTTAAAGGAATAAGATCAGTAGAAGATACAATCTTGTTTTTTTTTCATTTCTTTTAAAACAATATTGTCTGGGACTCTGGGCCAGCTTACACACACTATGTAGAATCATTAGCATTTAGTTTGCTGGCTTCAGGCCAATATATTTTAATAGTATGTTTAGTTGTGGCTTCAATTTTAAACATATTAGTTTGGTACTTTTTTGGAAACCTATGGTACAAAATTCACAATTAATTCGTCCATTAGGTGGTTCTAGAATGTTCTTAGAGTCTATAACTAGCTTACTGCTTACATGCAGGTAAAACTGAACTATTATCACCTTCTGGGACTACAGATATTTTAGGTCAACTATCCTCTCAAGATTGACGAATGTCTATCGGAAACAACCACCCTACCTTCACGAAGCAGGAGTACACTTCACTTTATTGTTTGAACATCTATGTTAGTGAGTACAGAATAAGGGTTTGAAGAGCTTCAACATAAGAAGCTTGAAACCTACAGGACTTCAGCCAATGTTTTATCTCTTGCTACTTCAATGGCGGTTCACGGTAGCTTCGCAAGTTCTATTTTATACAAACCAAGAACTGAAGGAAATATATATATATATATATATATTCCCTTTACATTTCTCACCCAGGATATGCATTCTTACCAGTAATGAAAGATTAAAAAAATATGATCATTAAAACAAACTGAATTTTGCTGAATCAAAGACCAATACATAGGTGGAGTAAACTGACATCAACTGCTGCTGCTGGGCTAGGTTGTAACACTGTCCTATCCCTTGAATCGCGCTGCCACATGCGGATCTGCAGAAAAGCGATGATTCTTAACTTTGGACCAAAATAATCTTAAAAGTTAAAAGAATTATGAGTACCATTGCCAAGTTGACAAGCCCACCAAAAAAAGAAACATTGAAGTTACTAATGGACAAAACAATCAAGATGACTTTGGTTTCTTGATCTCATTTTTGTTCCCTTTTTTTTAGATGAAAAAAGGTTATAGAACTTCTATTCCTCTTTTTATTTTTGTCTCACTTTTTTTTCTATCCTCGTTACCTAGAGTTATGGCAACCAAAGAGTGTAGTGATGTATACATATACCGGAACATCAATACAGCTCATATGGGTGCTAGCTACTGCAAACCAAAAGCACTTATTTGGTTCTTGTGGAACTGGAATTAGGAAGAGGTTGGACTCCTTCAAAAAATATGTGGGATTGAGCAAGATCGCCTTCTGGAAAGATAATCAGAGCTCTAGCAATATTCCTGGAGTGTATGGTTAGTGCTAGACAAATTAACCACTATACAAGCTATACTTACTGCTACTTTACAGCTAGTACTAATGAACCAGTGTACAGGCTATATTTACTGTGACTTGAGACTAGTCTTTCTACTAGAACAATTAGAAGAGCAATGTATGGTAAGTATAGTCCTACATATCGTTCTGCAAACTTTACAGTTGCCTGAGTTCCATAGAACTAAACATAGAGGCACGCTAGTACCTTATAATCACTGTTATACCATCAATGTTATATGGGATGACTGATGTGCCTTTAAGACCCAACATATCCACAATGAGTGTCACATAAATATTGATGTTAAGATAGATGTGCGGTCATACAAGATGATCATTGTTTAATAGAAAGTGCAATATAGGATGAAATAAAAGGAAGTTGTATGAGATTGCTTGACATGTACTATATAAATCTCAAAGTGCCTCATCCCGAAGGTGCAACACCTAAGATAATTGAAGGAGTTAAAATAGGATGAAGTAGACCTAAAATCCACAATCTCTTGGAATCAACAAGGATTTAACTAAGAACATAACACAATGAAAGCAAATGATCAAATAGTCAAGCAAGTAGATAAGATTAAGGCTTGGTCAAAGTAGTTACACGTGCATTAAATGTGTGTTTGCATTTAGTCTTTTTAATATGGTAAAGACTTGTATGTCAGCATAGAGATAAATGGGAGATTTAAAGCAGTCAATAACAAGATTACAGCTCAGTATGTCCTCACAGTTACATTAAAGGACATAATAGACTATTTTTCTGGTCTGATAAATAACTTGCAAATGAGTGCAGGGATAAGTGTGAGATTCAAAGAACCTCTATTTTTTTAAAACCCTAACTAGCCTTAAAAATACAAAAATGTTTATTATTGAAATGAAATGTACCAAATAGAAAGGAATGGATATAGAGGATTCTTTTTTTAATTAAGGAGATATTTCTTTTAAGGATGATAACTAAATTGGAATTGAATAAAGTTGATTGACTGATATATAGGATTAAAGGGGAATTGAGCTTGAGATTAGAAGCCAAAATTTAACTGTCAATTCTAATGGATGGCTGAGTTGTGTTAGACGATCATTTAAGAGAGTCTAGACCCAAGCTTCTCTCATGTGTAACAATTGTAGGGAAAAAAGGGTATCAGGAACTAATGTTCTGGTGCGTACAAAAAGAATCAAAAAAGAAAAAGAAAACAAATGATGTTCATGGACAATGGAGCAATGACATCCAAACTATCCATAGGAGGTTTTTATCTTTGATTATACCAAACTCTGTAAAAGGATTTCCATAATGTTGGTGAAAATGTTGTGGCATGCAGATGAATAAACACTTACCAACTATTCCTTAATGTTTATTTCCCACATTGATTGCTAACTATACACACATTTCAAGGCAGGGAAAGGTTAATATTGAATAAAAGCAATTTTGCTAGTTTTTCCTAATGGTGACGGGACAACAGCTTGTGGTTGTAACCCCCTTAAAATAAAGAAAAGAGGAAAATGAACCCACACTTGACGTAAATTTTCTTAGTGATGCAGGATAACAGCTACTGGCTCTAGCCCCTTGCTGATCTATATAGTAGTAACATATGGAAGAACAGTTACCGCAACACATTGCATAACTAGGTCTATGGGTAATTGCCAACATTCAACAGTTATTACCTGCATATATCTTACAACTGTACTGGTGTAGTCAACTGCTCTTCTCTGGCCAATTTTTCTCATTCTCTTTGCAGCAAAACTGTCAGCATGAGCTGCAAATATAAGGAAAAGAATAAAACTTTGGCAGACATCGTAATTAGGTCCTGTAAATACTTATCAAAATAAAAATTAGGTGAAGTGAATTATGTGTCGTCGAAGCAAATGGAAGTCTCTAAGGAAAAGGGTAACGTTCATCCTCTCTTCAACTTTATGGACCTAAACCTACCCAAGCAACAAGAATAGGTAGGTTCTATGAGAATTTGACAATCTGAGACAGTCATAGCCTCATTATCAGTCAATTTGTGGGTAAGAGACAATCTATTCTCGGCGCCGCATCTGATAACAAGAAATAAAGAAGTGATGAGGAATCAACCTTCTTTTTGCTTCAACATTCTGTCTTTCATCTTCTTCTTTTTTTGTGGTAAAGAACATTCTGCCTTTCATCTTGCTTCCTCTTATAAAATGAAATGAAAATGATAAATGGTAATAAGAGTTCAACGTGAATATCTGTGAGTTGAAAATCTTCTTTCTTCTCCAACTAAATAGAAACTACATGAAATAACGACTAAAGAGGTCTTTCCCAAAGAAAACAAAATAGTATGTTCAAATGACACCTCTCCAGACCGGTAGTTTCTACTAATATTCACTCTCCCTTTTTCCCATTAAAATTACAGTCAATTTCCAACTTTCAGTATCTAACCATATTTTTTTCAGATTAATGAATTACACAGCAGCAGTTTGATAACTAAAATCAAAGAAATAAAAGAGAAGAAGTAGAAGAAGAAAAGTTGTAGCTAGGTATTTTTTCCTACAATAAAACAATTTGATAACAACTAGATTCTTGATTTTCACAAGCAGCTGCACGCTCTGCTGAAAAGCATATCAATCAATAATGAGAAGTAAAAGAGTAAATGAAACATTAGTAAGTAACACACCGTCATAAGAAGGATGAGGAGGAGGTCCAGGTGGCTGAGCATTAAGAGTAGTGGAGGATGCAGATGGCTGCCGCATCATGGGAGGTGGACCTGGCAGAGGTTGTGGACCCCTTGGAAACTCTCCAAAATGTGGAGGGTGTTGTTGCTGGTGCTGTTGCTGGTGTTGTTGCTGGTGTTGTTGCTGGTGTTGTTGCTGGTGTTGTTGCTGGTGTTGTTGCTGGTGTTGTTGCTGGTGTTGTTGCTGGTGTTGTTGCTGGTGTTGTTGCTGGTGTTGTTGCTGGTGTTGTTGCTGGTGTTGTTGCTGGTGTTGTTGCTGGTGTTGTTGCTGGTGTTGTTGCTGGTGTTGTTGCTGGTGTTGTTGCTGGTGTTGTTGCTGGTGTTGTTGCTGGTGTTGTTGCTGGTGTTGTTGCTGGTGTTGTTGCTGGTGTTGTTGCTGGTGTTGTTGCTGGTGTTGTTGCTGGTGTTGTTGCTGGTGTTGTTGCTGGGGTTGTTGCTGGTGTTGTTGCTGGAATTGTTGCTGTGGCAGCGGTGGGTGCTGGTGCTGGTGCTGATGAGGATCACCACTCGCCATCATAGTTGCGGATCCAAGATTTCAAATTTATGGATTCAAAATTCAGAGTTCTAGGACAATGGCCTCGAGTTAATATACAATAATAATCGGACCAAGTATCTGATATAGATATTCAATACATATTTGAAGAAGTTAACAACCACCTAAACACAAACAGGTAAATCTATCAAAAATAATCAATAATTACATTCATGGGCACACGTGCAAACACAATAACCTTTGATTTTCTTCAAACACCAACTGGCTCAAATCTCAATATGCAAAAAACCTAACAAGAGAGCTTGCATTCCATATCTAATTGAGGGAGCTCCAAGAATTAAGAAAGCACCCAAAAAAATCATTTCAACAACACACATACTGTACTGTAATGCAATCTCTGGATAATATTAATGAGAAGACACGGATTTTCAATATAAATTTCTAATTTTTAATATGAACTTCCCATAAAGAAACTGAGAACCACTTAAAGAAAATCCTGAAAGAAACCCTGGAATCAATCATATCGCATAACAATGACAAACTAAAATTTGAATTAAAAAGCTATGCCGACCTAAATTCTTTGAATATAGTGCTACACAAATATAAGAGATAAACAGGAAAAAAAATAGCTGGTGTACCAGTTACAGAAACGTGAAGGAACCAGCAACACAGTACTCGGAACTCCGGTAAGAAGGGCCTTCAGCTAGTGCTACGATGGATGGCAGCAAGAAGTAAAAAGGGTTTAGGGTTTTTAAACCAGGAGTTAAAAAAAGAAGGAAATGGAGAGAGGTATATAGTGAAAGAGGGAAGAAACGGAGGAACTCACTAGGCAAAATCTTCGCCGGAGAGATCAACGGCGAGGTGAGCGCGATGTATTCGCCGGAGAGAGCTACGGCGAGGGTGTAGTAGCAGTGGATAGGTTTGGTAATTTAGTGTGGGCTTATTTTGGAGTCCATTTTTCGTGTAAATGGAGATTTGGACAATGGAAAATGAAGTGAAATCCTCAAGGCCCAATGCCGAAAATTACAGAGGAAAATCTAAAAGTTATTTGTGTAAAAAAATGGAAAAATCACATCACATAAATAATTAAGACTTTATATTACTATTAAATACAAAAAAAAAAGTTATTTATCAAATATAATATTATATTATACAAATTATAATAGACTTGAATTTAATAACATACTCATGAATTTTGGGCTAATTTTATGAAAAAGAAAATGTGATTTGGGAAATTATTATGGGAAAATTGTACATAATGGCAAACTATTAATTCAAATTAAATGATATAATCACACTTTGATTTAATTGTATCCTATAGCAAACTGTTTGTCAGCGCCTCTCTCCCTCAAACTCTCGCTCGCCACGCTCCTCTCTCGCTCACTCCCTCTGTGCTCGCCTCTCTCGCTTTATACAACAGAAGTGTATAAATTGTGTTTCTGTTTGTATAAAGCGAGAGAAAATTGTATATACACATGCAAATACATATATATTCGTCCTATACACTTATAATTATACAATAAAAATATTCCCCTGCCCATTTCTCTTTTGTCTTTCTCTCTTTCTTGTTTTATACAACAGAATTGTATAAATTGTGTTTCTGTTTGTATAAAGCGAGAGAAAATTGTATATACACATGCAAATACATATATATTCGTCCTATACACTTATAATTATACAATAAAAATATTCCCCTGCCCATTTCTCTTTTGTCTTTCTCTCTTTCTTGTTTTATACAACAGAATTGTATAAATTGTGTTTCTGTTTGTATAAAGCGAGAGAAAATTGTATATACACATGCAAATACATATATATTCGTCCTATACACTTATAATTATACAATAAAAATATTCCCCTGCCCATTTCTCTTTTGTCTTTCTCTCTTTCTTGTTTTATACAACAGAATTGTATAAATTGTGTTTCTGTTTGTATAAAGCGAGAGAAAATTGTATATACACATGCAAATACATATATATTCGTCCTATACACTTATAATTATACAATAAAAATATTCCCCTGCCCAGTTCTCTTTTGTCTTTCTCTCTTTCTCGTTTTATACAACAGAATTGTATAAATTGCGTTTCTGTTTGTATAAAGCGCGAGAAAATTGTATATACACATGCCAATACATATATATTCGTCCTATACACTTATAATGTATAATTTATGTTTGTCAACGATTTATACAAACGAGAGGCTAACAACAATTTATACAAATGGCCTGCCAGCGAAATTATACAATTCTGAAGAGGAGCCAACGAATTATACAATTGCTTCTTTTTGTATATATGTATAGCGATAGACAGCTTTCAATTGTATATATATAGCGAATTATACATATATATGTTTGCTATGGAGCGCAATTATGCAAACTTTGCTATAACATACAAATATGATTTTTTTGTTTGCTATATGTGAAAGTTGCTTAATTATTATTTATGTGTTAGTTTCAAATATATACGGTAAAGTAATTAGAGCTTGTTACTTAAAAAAAAGTAACTTTTAAGTCAAAAATAGATAGTCAAACTTAAATGACTTTTAAGTCAAAAAATAAAAAGTAAGGAAAGACTTACTTTTGGTTTTTAACTTATTTTAAGTCATTTTAAACTTATTTTAAGCTATTTTTTATCTTGTCAAACACTTCCTAAGTTATTTTAAGTCATTATTTAAGTTATTTTTGTTGTGACGAAAAGATGAAAACGAAAATCTAAAATAAAGAACATCAAGTTTAACGTGGAAAAATCCTTCAAAACGAAGGTAACCACCACGGGATCGACAAGATCCGAATTGCTTCACTATAACAATAAGATAGTTACAATTATTCTTCTAATGGCTACACAACAAGTGCCAAAAAGAGAACAAACAATAGTTACACCAACAAAAGATAAATAGAAAGAAACACCACCCAAATTCAGCTGTTGTTCGGGACCTAAAACAGGATCTTTCTGACTTCCAAATCCGATCTCCACCGTTCAAATCAACCACCAAGATGTCAGGAACACTAAGTACAAATTTCAGCCCGATCAAACGGTTAGTTAATCAGGAAACACGATCTGAAGGTTGCTGGTCGAAATAAAAGACTACAGCAAAAGAACTTTTTTTCTTCTCTTTTCTCTCTTGTTGAAAGCTCTCTCAAAAAACCTCTCTTATGTCCTAATGTCTTTCAAAGACAATACTAATGAGCAATCTGAATTATTCTCTTAAGACCATCCTCTATTTATAGAGTTGTGCTTTTCCTTACAAAGCCAAAACCAACTCCAAATAGGATTACTATTCCAATCCTTTTCCTAATAGAATTGGAAACCAAATAAAGAGAATAATTCCAATCCTTTTTCAAGTAGGATTAGGCCATGGGCCTTTGGCTGGAACATGGGCAATAGCCCAACAAACTCCCCTTCCAGCCAAGGGGCCAAATAGACTTCAAGTGGAGGAACTCTTGACAGGCTTCATGCCTGCCGCACTTCTACAAAACTCATGCTTGTCTACGATCACCACTTTTGTAAGCATATCTGAAGGATTGTCATCAGTGTGTATCTTCTCAACCTCAAATAATTTCTCCTCCAGGGCCATTCTAATCCAATGATATTTTCTACTAATATGCTTGGACTTAGAATGAAAGGTAGAGTACTTGGTGAAATAAATAGCACTTTGATTATCACAAAATAAGACAAACCTTGATTGTTCAAAATCAAGATCTTTGATAAACTCCTTCATCCAAAGCAATTCTTTGGCACCTTTAAGGTCTTTGATAAACTCCTTCATCCAAAGCAATTCTTTGGCACCTTCAGTGATGGCAATATATTCAGCTTCTGTGGTAGATAAAGCTATGCACTTTTGAAGTCTTGATTGCCAAGAAATAGCTCCCCCTCCAAAAGTGATCAAATAACCAGAAGTGGATTTTGAGTTATCAAGATTTCCTCCCAAATCAGAGTCTGTGTAGCATACAAGTTCAGACTTGCCACTACCAAAGCACAACTCCATATCTGAAGTACCCTTCAAATATCTTAGTATCCATTTCACTGCAGCCCAATGTTCTTTTCCAGGATTGGAAAGAAATCTGCTAACGGTACCAACAGCATGTGCAATATCTAGTCTAGTGTAAATCATAGCATACATCAAACTACCAACCACGGAAAAGTATGGAATACTTGACATCTCATTCTTCTCTTCATTAGTAGATGGACTTTGGGTCGTACTCAATTTAAAGTGTTCAGCAAGAGGTGTACTAACCACTTTTGTCTCTGTCATGTTGAACCTTTTGAGTACTTTCTCAATATACTCCTTATTGGATAGTGATAACTCTTTCTTGTATCTATCTCGATGAATTTGTGTGCCTAAGATCTTCTTTGCTGGCCCCAAGTCCTTCATCGCAAACGATTTGCTTAACTCTTTCTTACTACAATTCTAGATTTATTTTTGCCAACAATCAGCATATCATCCACATAAAGTAGTAAGATAATAAAATCAACATCAGAAAACTTCTGAAAGAATACACAATGATCTGAAGAAGTTTTCTTGTATCCCTGATTTTCAATGACAGATTCAAACTTCATCATGAGTATCTAGCTGTTGTTCGGGACCTAAAACAGGATCTTTCTGACTTCCAAATCCGATGTCCACCATTCAAATCAACCACCAAGTTGTCAGGAACACTAAGTACAAATTTCAGCCCGATCCAATGGTTAGTTAATCAGGAAACACGATCGGAAGGTTGCTGGACGGAATAAAAGACTACAGCAAAAGAACCATTTTTCTTCTCTTTTCTCTCTTGTCGAAAGCTTTCTAAAAAAACCTCTCTTATGTCCTAAAGTCTTTCAAAGACAATACTAATGAGCAATCTGAATTATTCTATTAAGACCATCCTCTATTTATAGAGTTGTGCTTTTCCTTACAAAGCCAAAACCAACTCCAAATAAGATTATTATTCCAATCCTTATTAGAAACCAAATAAAGAGAATAATTCCAATCCTTTTTCAAGTAGGATTAGGCCATGGGCCTTTGGCTGGAACATGGGCAATAGCCCAACAAACTCCCCCTCCAGCCAAGGGGCCAAATGGACTTCAAGTGGAGGAACTCTAAACATGGGCAATAGCCCAACAATTTTTATATTTGTCAAATACTTTCATAAGTCAAAAACTAACTTAAAAGTAGGTTTGACAAACTTTTAAGTCAATCCAAACGTCTTCTAGATTTACAACGAATATTTTCATGTTTTATTTATATAAAAAAATAGCCAAAAATCATAGAAAGTATATATTGACTATATGTCACGACCCAAGCCTAGGGCCTAGACGTGACCGGCGAATGGGGAACCCGAAGGAACCCCAAAAAAGCCTCATAGCGTATCATTACACATCCTTGGTCGCGGAAGCAATTAAAATGACCATAAGCGATAAGCATAATCAAGGGGGAAATCGGGACTAAGGGAGCAAGAGAAACAAAAAA